TTTAAAAAAATAATTTGCAAAAATTATAATATGTGAAAAAAAGAAATAATTTTGTGAAACAAAAAATAGTTAATCCAAAAATATTATTTTATGAACTTTTTATCCTTTAACCCAAGCAAGAAAAGCGTGGTGCAGCTAATGCCGTGAAAATGTAAGCAGCAGCGTTTAAAAAAATTTATATTCATAGCTAAACTAAAAATAAAAACAAACTTAAAATAAACTTCAGTGCCCAGTAAAGTGTTTTAAAATCGTTTGCCAGCGTGCATGAAGTTTGTTAGCATATATTTTTACCCCTACTATTACAAATTGTTTTGCTTGTAAGCAAACAAGAACACAATTTTTTTCGTTTTGACTCCACTCTGTGCCGTTTGCTCAATTTTCCGCTATCACAAACTAAATAATTATTAATCTTTAACCTTATCAATTATTGCGTAGTTAAGTTATTGTGTGTATTAAATTAGTTTTTAACTCTGATTAACTATATAATGTATTGCTATAGTAATGGTTGAGTTAAGATTACAAAATAAATGAAGAAAATATTTTGAGTTAATTTTTTTTATTTGAGTTGGCTTTTTTCTTGTCATTATATAAGTTGGTTTTTTTATGTATTAATATTTTTGTTGTTGTTATAATTAACTGTTGAATTTTTGTTATAAAGATTTACAATATTTTGCTGCCGAAAACATTTTCAGCGATAYTTTTTTGAATACTACAAATTTGATAGTTTAGCATGAAGAATGTCAGAACGCTTCGGATGCAGGCCCGATTGCCTGGCGAATGAATTTAAAAATGGATTCAGTTCAGTTTAAGTTATTCGCTCTTGTGTTCTTTAATATTTTATATTCAGCTAAATTTGGTTTCGAAAAGAAAAGTTACGTATGTAGGTGTCCTTTTTTTTATCTTTTGGCACTTAATTGGATTTTAAGTTAATTCGAAATCTGGTATTAGAACAAAATTTTTTAATTCAAATTTTTTTAAGATTAAGAGCTGAAAAATGAAGCGCTAAAATTTTTCAAAATCAATTCAAATCAAAATCAAAATCTTTCAATTCAATACAAAAAGAGACCTGCTTATGGTCCTCTTAATCGCAACGCACCACTGAAGTGCACCGACTTAAGCACCTGCTGTAAATTAACTGGTTGACAGATCACGCTCATATTCGGCATATTAATTAAGGACAGACCTTCCACCTTATTAAAATAAATTTTTTGAAATATCTTTTACCCGGGGAATTTAATTACAGTTTCCAACTGTTTTTTTGTCACTTTACTTTGTGCTGTCCTACAAACCGAACGATCGGAATTAAGTCCTTATAGGCATAAGTGAGAGTACTAACTGGTCACTGTCTGGTGGTGACACACGACCGCAAGATGTGGTTGACAGATCGAAACAATCGAGCATCTCTTATGCGCTTATCCCG